TTCTAGGCTGGGCACGGTGTCTCACGCCTATAATCCTAGCACTCTGGAAGGCCGAGGCAGGAGGATCACTCAAGGTCAGGAGTTCGAAACCAGCCTGAGTAAGAGTGAGACCCCATCTCTACTAAAAATAGAAAGAAATCAATTGGCCAACTAAAAATATATAGAAAACATTAGCTGGGCATAGTGGCACGTGCCTGTAGTCCCAGCTACTCGGGAGGCTGAGGCAGGAGGATTACTTGAGCCCAGGAGTTTGAGGTTGCTGTGAGCTGGGCTGATGCCACGGCACTCTACCCGGGCAACAAACTGAGACTCTGTCTCAAAAAAAAAAAAAAAAAAGAATATCTAAGTATCAGACCCCCAGTAGGCTTCAGACTGAAACACAGATATGCTGTACTCTTTGAAGGCGCTTATTATTGACGTATAAATCCTAGGAGAAAAATGGTCTCCTTTTATCTTCCCAGTCCTCTGACTCCTTCTTGGAAAAATCACCAGCAAGGCCAATATCATGGAGTAACCTCAGACAGGGAGCAGCTTCACAAGAGAAGTCTTTATTCTGAATAAAACAGTCCATCTCCACAAGTGCAGGTGGAGAAGACCAACTCACTCACCCACTGACCCACTCCACTTCTTTACTCCTGACTTCTTGGATTGGTTTCTTTTCATGAGGCCAGTCTGGGGAGGCGGGCTCTTGGGGAAGTGTAGGAACGTGAGGCAAATGATCAACAGGGTTTCCTCAAAATTCCTTCTGCTTAAACAAGGTCCCTCTAAGAAAGCCAACCTAGGGGCTGGGGGTAAACAGAAATGCAGACTTCAGCTAATGGCATATTAATTACCCTTAGCTTACTCGGTAGGTCATTTTCTAAATATTAATATGCCTGGGCTGGAGAATTCCTAGATGACAAAGGCATTCCTTCCTTCCCCAGGTGTGGCAGTTCTTCAGAATATGATTGAGGGTGGGGCACACCAAAATGGGAGTGCCCACCCTTATTCTTCTTCCCAGGTTGAAACAATTGCTCTAAATAGCACCAAAAACATGGAACCCTTGTGCGGAGAAGAGCAGAAGATCTATCTACCTAACCAATTCTACTTGAATCCGTAAGATAACTGCATCACTTAATATCACCTGAGTGTGGCCGTGCTGGATTCTTAAATGCCCCCTCCCGTCCCTGGCAAGTTGCTAAGTGTGGTTGCCAAGGAAGCTAACATTACCTCCATGCTCCATGAGGGAGGACACTCTGACTTTGTGGGTTTGTTCTTATTTAGTTTCAATTTCAAAATAGTTAACATCTGAGTACCTATTCTATTCTTATATGAAATTATTTTTAATTTGGCTCTGTAATCTCTTCGTAAACATAGGTTGTGTCCTTATGAATACACATCCACCCATTCAGAATCTTAAACGCAGCTGAAAGCTCTTGTCTCTGCCTAGGTATAGATGCTTAAAACCAGGCTTGATTTCATCAGGTGGCTGTTTACTGGGATTGTGTGTATTTATTAGTCATAAGTACTTCTTATAGCTTGTATTAGACAAAGAAAGATCTGTTGACATGAGGATGTGCTCCGCCTCCCAGAGTGCTAGGATTACAGGCCTAAGCCACAGCACCCAGCCCAAGAGATTTCTTTCTATGAAGAAAGATAAAGCAAGGCCAAGAGATGCAGATGGTGTGGTGGGTGGGGGTGGTTCTTGCTGTCATACAGGTGATCATGGAAGACTTCATTGGGGTAATGTTTGAGCAAAGACCTGAAGGAAGTGAGAGAGCGGTCTACACAGATACCTGGGAGAAGAAGGAATAGCCAGGATCATGCTTCTCATGGTGATTGATACTCAGGAGTTCTGCTTAGCTGGAATGGAGTCAGCAAGCTGGGAGGTCATAGGTCAGCAGGCCAGGGAGCCACTGAGGGAAGTGGGAGTCATCAGAAGGTTTTGAGCAAAGTGGTGACATAACGCAACATGTTTTAAAAGGTTCTCTCTGGTACCATGCCAAGAATGACTGTGTAGGGTTTTAGAGCAGTTAGGAGGCTGCTTCAGAAACCCAGATGGGAGATGATGGTGGGGTGGGTGAGCAGCAGAAGAAGATGGTAAGTTTCAGCAGAAGAGATGGTAAGATGCCCATGCATTAGTAATTTTTGACCCTAGTTTTGGAATGTTCCTTGGTACTCAAAGGATTGTTATACAATTTGAAAGCAATTAAAAATATTTTTAAAATAATTTCAAAACTTTAAGGTCCAAAGGCATTTATTGAGAGGCAAAGGAACAATTGCTTTATTATATTTTCTCCTTACATGTAAGACAGTGGACATTATTATATTTTCATGATACAGATAAGGAAAGTGAAATCTCCAAGAGGTCATGTGACAATGAACAAAGTCACATAGCTAGTGGGTGATGGCGCTGTGATCAAAGCTCAAATGATCTAACATAAAAATTGGTACTCTTTTAGTTATACAAGGCCACTTTCATTTTCTTTTTCTTTTTCTT